AAAAAAAAAAACTGTACTTCTGCCAGGGTCATCAATCAAGAATTCTCTAACATTATTTAAATCGTCCGTAACAAAGATGACCGTACGTATATATATTAACTATACTATAACATAGGTGTATTGAAGGGAATGAAAAACAGAGTTGTACTTTCTATGCATCAGTTAGGAATTTTTAAGTCTGATTATGATCATTGTTGATGCATGAGGTGATGGTACATGATGTTCATGAAAGACAACAACAGAACTTATCAAATTTAACTTTCATAATTGTGATGTAACAAACTTATTTTTTTTTTTTTTTTTTTTTCCAAACAACAGCTGATATTCTTAAACTACAGCCACTTTCTGCATACAGCCAAAAGCATCTTTTTTACAACCCACAAATGTTGAAAAGCTGAAGAATTTAAATGAGGCTAGCTTATTAAATCTGTTAGGTCCAAAGTCCCAAAAAGATTAAAATGACATGAAAAAAACTCTTCCTTATATTCAATGGTCTTTATAGTCCAACATCACCTTCTCAACTGCCTTTGAAAAGGCAAAAGCTTTGTTATGGAGAAATGCATGTGAACTTTACTAATGTAAAGTGAGTATGTAACCACTTATAAATAAATATATCTAATGAGAAAGCTAAACCAACTTAAAATAATCACAAGAGAAGAAAAGATCATTTATATATATATATATATATATATATATAATTGGAAATTGAATTACATTAAAGTTCACAAAAATTAAAACATTTTGGGTCCCCATTCTGAAAATATTATCTCTGTTACTCAAATGTTAAAATGTAGAAATATAATTATCTTAAAAAGAAAAAACTAAATGTATTATGAACTTGGTCAAAGAAACACTGGTTTTAGCTGGTAAACAGGTAAATCACCATTATCTAACAAAATTAGTCATCACCTCGTCCCTAAAAGATAGGAAAAAAATCTCACGACTTATCTGACTTAGTTTTTTCTTGTTGACAAGAATTAAAGACAGACACGCGCCAAGAAAAAAAAGGAATTGCTTGAGAATAAAAAAAGTAAAAAAAAAAAAACTAAATTACTAATTTCCCTATACGGGAAATGCTATGGTGTTTTAATCAGTAGATTGTCTATCTTATCTAACTACATATGGATCCAACGGTTAGTGGATCCAATGGTTAAAACACTCGACGAGATGGTACCGGGACCCTAGATAAACGTAAAGAAATCACGATCAAAATCTTGGAGAAGAAGAACAAAAAAGATTACAACTTTACCGTCCATGCACCAGAGAGCGAAAGAGAGAAGAAGAAGAAGAAGAACAAAAATACACTGTCACTCTGTCAGCGTATATTTTCGTCACACAATCTTCATTTTTTTTCAGAACAAAAAAAAAAAAAAAAAAAA